TTGCTATGCCCTTATCTCTTGTATACCAACCCACAAACTTTGTGGTTCATCATTGAACCTAATCAAAGCAAGCATTACCACAATATTTGTGAATTGGCACACAAGACACTAGGGAATAGCAAGTCATATACTTGGTATTACGGATAGAAAAAGAATAGACGCGGCGAAGACTGGATCTAGTTGGCTGACAGTAGGTTTTACCATAGACGTGGTCCATGTGGCAAAGGCTCGACGATGAGATGTATTCAGAGGATTTAGCCTCGAATTGCTCACCTAGACGCATGCGAGGGTTAATAACGCCTCGAGTATCCCAGATGGAGTGGCAGGGGTCGAGTGAACTATGTTAACCAGGGATATAGTAGGCGGATCTGACGGGGTAAGAGAGAGATAGAGTGTGATAAGACCTATGGAAGGAGGACTGCGTGACAATAATACAGAATCTGATAAACATTCCCAGCACAAGGGTGAAGGGGGTGAGAACGACAGTGTGGAGGGTGTAGGGTTTTTATCAATGCTGCTCAAAGGAGGGCATGACTTCAATATCCAGAAAGGGTAGTCTTTCATCCTCCTCCCGAGATAAGAAGAAGTAAATATGATTCCCGTATCCAGTCCTTAATAAGAATTTAAAATGTAGTCCCTTTATCATAGATTATTATTTGCATAAAATATAGTTATGTAAAAAAGAAGATTTTGATGAGAGTTATTATTTGAATAGGCTAAAAATCGTAGTTTATTTGATAGTAATAATAAGCAAAAGGTAAGATCGACAAAGGAATCTATTAATTATTACAAATTTTATGCACATATCGAATTCTAAGGTAGGGAATTAAAAGTTCTGAGTGATAGTTTTTCGTTTATAAGCAAATTTTCATAATGCCGGATCTCTAAGGTTCAAAAAGACAAGCAATCTGCGTATTACACGAGTCCGGTAAATCGAAATTCTCCAGTTCTCGTGTTCTTGGACCCTCATCGTGGAAATCTTCAAAAATCTGCTGTGCCCAACCAACGTTACCGACGTACCAAAATGTAACAGGAGCTCTATATCCTCTAGAAAATTAGGAATAAAGGTGATAGACGAACTTAATATTTGCTAAACTATTGCAGCACTCCCATACTGAAGAGCGGCATTTTTAATATTAAGATTAATGGCTCACTAAAAGTATATATTTTTTGAGTCACTCTTAATTGACCTGCTTGACACATGGTGCATCAATGTATAAATAACAAAGTATTTACACCCCATTCTTTCGTTTTCCATTTTATCTCCTAATCCTACTAAGCGTTTGGTAATGGGCCACTATATCGGGAATCCTTATGGACCAAATATTTAACAATTTATGATTTCGGAGCACATTAAACTTTGCACATGTTTTTATTAAAAGATGACCTCTTTTATATGGATCGGCACTTCCCCTCCCCCATGGAATCCATAATTGGAGCACAAAGATTTAGAGCAACCTGACTTGAAAAGATAGCCCTAAAGTTCTTTCAAATTGGGCATAGCCGAGGAGTTCCGGTTTATCATAATCCAAAGTCTCAGTAGTTAAGCTCCCTTAGTTAGATAAAAGTTTTGCAATCCTATCTTGTCTTAAATCATGGATTTCCTCTTTCCAATTTCTTATCATTCTGAAGAGTTACCCACTACTCCTAAGGGATAGTTCTAAGAAAAATTATTTTACTGAATTACGTTTCTCATTGCACGCAAATTCCATACCGCCTTAGGGTTAATGGATCCCTTTTGTTCTTCTAATTGTGAGTATAAAATAAACGAAGGTAAAAGCTTGTTGTCCGTGTTTTATTTTGGATATCCCTATAAATACTGCACCTTCTTAAATCGGCAGGAAATTCAGTACCATATTTTTTGTGTTGCCGAAAAGACAGCGTAGTCAAAGAAGAAATTACAAAAACTCCATCTTATGTTTTAACTTAATTTTATGAACCTCTGAACAAACATAGAAAATGAATTAAAAATAAAAATCCATCATCAAAAATGACTGAAAAAATCTTGCCTCTTTGAAGCCTTCCTTGCCCACCCATAGCCACCGAATACTTTGTCTTGAACTGTTGGCCGAGATATTGTATCAAGATCCAATGATGAGAACCATCCATATTTACCCAATTTATGTTTGTTTATTTCAATTCTCTCTCTCTGTTTTTCTTCTTCTTCTTGAATTTTTTCGCTCTTCCATTTCTTCGGTTCCTCCCGTAAGTTAGGTTTTCTTAGAATTACGTCAGAACCAGGTATAACCCACCAATCTAGTGTCTGTTGAAAAGCGCCTGGGCCAAATCCTGTTGTCGTACGATCGTAGTAATTTGCGAACTGGCTCATGAAATCACGATGAACAGGACTCCAATTTTTCCTATAAACACAGCAGGGTCCGTACCCTGAGGATATTGGAGCAACGAGGTAGGCAGTACGATTATAGTTGAAAAGAGTACAAGGGAAATAGCTTGCTGGTAGAAAGATGGGCACACAATAGTCGAGATAAAGCTCCACCATTAGGCCTAGATCCCATGCATACCATGTGGCACCGCGTCCGACGGCATAGGGCAGCCCGGGAGGGACTAACCCGCGCCAAGGTGGATGTGGCATTTTGGCGTCGTCTCGAGGTGTGTAGAAGAGAGTAAAATTGACATAGAATCGCATCGGCAAAATAGGCGGAATCACAAATGGGGTAACTAAACGAAGAAGGCAAGAGAGATGCGGTAGACTTTGAAAACTAGAATAAAAAGAGAGGACCATTTTTATTCTTTCAAGACAAATAAGTTGGCCCGAATATTATACAATACAACTCAAGTGTATCTCTGGCGGCCTCTAAATCAGACGCAGATGTAATCAACGCAACGTAGGTAATCATGACACTATCTATGCTAAACATATCCTATTGTAACCATATTTCCTACATAAATGTATATATATATATATATATTCTCATCCATGGTGGACGGCAGTTTAGACCTCGTCTAGGTCTAATCAGCATACATAGTGGGAATCGAACTCGAGGGGTGCATATTTTAATCTCAACATGTTACCACTGTGTCAGACTGACATGAGTACCCCTGGTCACATGCAGAAGGGAATTTAAAGGAAGGCCACGCCTCTCCTATATTTGCTAGTAAAATCGACTATTATTTATATTCTGGTTGAGTAGGTTTCGAAACTACCAGTAGATCCTAAATAAGAGCTCTATTTAACCTGGGTCTAATAGGGTGATGGAGCATGACTGCTGTCTAACCATGATGGGAATACCTTCAAGCAGGCAGGATTAAGTGAAATTCAATAGAAACGTGAGGTCTCCTCATTTCATTGTGGGAGAATTCGACTTGCACTTCTTAATAAGCCTATGCCAAATTGAAGTGAATATAGTTCTTATACCAAATTAGTGAATTTCAAAACTAATTACGGGAAATACTTTCATCATAATAGTTGGGACTAAACTTTTATTATAATACCTGATTCGAAATTTCAGACAACACTCTATCTAGCCTTGAGTAGCTAAGGTAACTAGTTTAGTATCCACACTATTTATGAGTTCAACTCTTGTAACTAAATTGTACGAAAAAATCTGTGCTCCCTTCTGTAGTATTGATAACTTTTTCATTTCTATATTTCTATCGGCCTTATTGATAATGCAATGTTTATGTGTACTTTTTATCTATATTTTATTCATTTAATATTATATTACTTATTCATATATGAATAGTAGCACATGTCTTATACAGAAAAATATAATATTTAAGAA